CGTTAATCAGCGTTAGTTACAGTTCAGAGAAGCTGTGTGCCCGTCTAATTTCCAATTAAAGGTGCCACAGCTGTGTCTCAGAGGTGCTTTCCTTTCTGCAGCCCGGCTGCGGTGCAGGATGCATCTCTGCTCCCCAACCCTTTGCGCTGACCTGCCTGCCGGTCACGTAAATAAAATATATCAGAGACTCGGGAGACGCAGTGGGGGTCCCTGGCTGGAAAGAAGCTAAATGGGTTTGAAGTATTTACTCATTTCTTGAGTCCTTAAAAACCTCTCCCAGGGCTTTTGCGAGCGTAGCTGGTGTGAGTCACGACCTCGGTGCCGCACGCTGGGAGCAGCGGCAGACAACAGCAATGTTTTGCTTATAATTCCCTAATCTTCATGCGTCTGTTCTATTCTGGGGTGTCTCTTTATCCAGGAAGAGGATAGGTTTGTTCAGGGTTATATAATCCACAGAGGGCGAAGCCAGCCTGTTTCAAAGTCTCATCTCACTAATAGCTCTCAACACCCTCCATGGCAGTTAGTCACCGCTTAGCAGACATGACGTACCGCGCCTGCCCTCCGCCCACTGCGGGGTTAGAAACCGCCTGAAACCAGCGTGTCTCCTTCCTAATCCTCTGACTCGATAGTTAATCAATCGGAGATAGCCAAGTAAATAAGTCAGTCATTCACGGCTGATGCAGAAAAGGACAAACACTGTAATAAGTGCAGCCCGCTGTTTGCGTGTGTTGCACGCAGAGAACCGCACAGGGTATGAAGGAGCTAGCCCTGAGCTGTAGGACTGACTCGTTTCGGGGATCCTCTGCCTCTAGCTCCCGGGAGATCCCCCGGTCCCCACTGATGGGAGAGAACAGTCGCGGCTGCGTAGCTGGCGGGTCGGAGCCCTGCAGCCGGTGGCACCCTTCCCACGGGCCGGAGCGGGTGGGCACCTCCCCGGGACACCGCCCGGGCAGCCCGCGCAATAAGGACAGAGCGAATTTGCTCGACTTCTGTGTCACCAAACACCAAAACGTTGGGTTTTGGCTGCCACAGTGTGTACTGAGGGAAGCCAAGCTTATTTTCTTCTTCTTGAGATAAATCAGTTGGGTTCCCCGAGTACATCTGACGGCAGTGGATTTTGTTAATAGCAGCTGTCTGTCATGTTTGCGTAAAGATGAGTGTGAGGGAGAACTTCAGTTAGTGGGAACCTTATCTGTTCTCTAATGCCGTTGGACAACTTCCTCCGCCTCCAGATGATATCATGAGACCTCGCACCCAGAAACCCCCCAAGGGAAACATGCCTTCTGCTGTGCTTGCTTTTTTTTTTTTTTTAATGGTGAATTAAATAATAATTTAAGTCTAAACTGAAAGTAGAAAGTATTCAAAATGTAATAGCAATCAGATTCCCCCAACAGCACCTGGACTGGGAGCACAAGCACATACATGGAGTTCCAGGGCTCAGCTCACACTGTACCAGCAAAATACAAGGCTCGGATTAAATTAACACCCACTCACAGAACATTGCTCTGGCAGGCAGCTCTGTCTTTCTGGCCCGCTACAAGTCTACCATGTGTGGCTTAAGGCTTACTGTCTGCCATTGCCTGTTTGGATTGCTCCCGAGAGCCAGGATCCCATTCAAAAGTTGTTAAGACTGACACTTTGTTTCATTCTTAACCAAGAAAATAGCACTGTGCAAGTAAAGCAGAACATGGTTTTTAGGCCTTTGAATCCTGAAAAGCTGTTGCAGATTAATCCTCCTTGCACTTGCCCAAATGCACAGTGACACCAGGAACAGAGGGCTGGAACTGGGTGGAAAAGAAAGCACAGAATGACTTGTTTTCTTACGAGCTGAATCCCAGGTTTGCGCTCCAAATCCCCTTCTTATAGACTTTTCCACTGAGGTCTGTTCCTGCTCTGACCATGCCTGTATAACTGTTCCTCTCTTTGCATTCTTTAGATTCTTCTACTTGAGACGCTGCATTGAAGAAAGGGTCTGAGGTCCCTAGGAGTGAAAGGCGCGTGGCAAGCAATCATCCTAAAGACAAAGTGGAGGAGGAGGAGGAGGTTTCCTTTGGACTCTAAACTGTCAAACCAGAAAGCAAAAACATGTCACAGGTCATACCAAACCATGTGTTGCGGGTTGGACAGACCGTATGTGTTGCATCACAGGAAGAAAGCAAAAGCTTGCGGCCGGCGGGGTACCCAGGCTGCTCTACGCTGCGAACGAAGGACTCCTACTACTCAACGGATGGCTGGGCTGACCCACCCGTGATGATGCGAGCCCAGGCACACTTGCTTCCTAACAGAGGACTATACGTGACCCACCCCGTGTTCGAACACATGGCCTCCCATGCTCAAGGGAAAGGGCAGCAGGATACCTCTTTGGAGAGACCCGATGTCTCTTGTCAGCCAAAGGAAGAGGAGGACACCACTGTGGATCCTGATGCTCACCTGGTGTCTCCTACCTTGGACATTTCAATAGAAAGTCTCAACCAGCTGATCCTAGAAATCGATCCAACCTTTCAGCCACTCACATGCAAGCCAGTGAAAGAAGCTGTCCAACCTGATTCTCAGAGTGACCTTGTTGCAAAGAAGAAACAAGATCCAGAGGCAATAGGTGAGACAAAAAATCATCCTCATTTAGCGGAGCCAGCATAGCTCATGGTACAGACCATTAGTAAAGACCTTAGTAAAGTCCCGGGAGTGGTGTTGTCCACGCACCAGCCACAGACTGGTGCATGCAGGGTGAGGTTCTGTCTGCTTGTGAAGGCCGGGAAATAGGGCTTTGATGACATCCTCCTTCATCCCAAGTGGGGTTGATGTTTCAGGGGATACTGTCTGTCTCCTGTCGCATCACTGCTTGACATAAAGGAGTAGGTGTGTAGGTTGTGTATCCAGGCTGATTACCTTTTTGCCTAACTTAGGTGTACTTAGGTAGCCCTGATGTGATCACTTTTGAAATGTCTAAATTCCAGCTAGCTCAGCA